ACTGCATGCAGAGCTTAGTACTGATTCGGGAGTTCTGTTACTGTTTGATAAGATGGAGATGGAATTTGAGCCCAGGGATTGAAAGAATATCAAGCCAAGTGAAATTTCTAGAACACAACTAAATAAATCATGAGCGTTTAACAGTCTGAAAATTTCTCATAGAGATTAAGAACGGAAGGTTAAAGTAGATTCTGGGAAAGCTAATATTGGTTGAGTTGTACGCTATTTTAAATAAACACCAAATACAAAAGTTTGCATTACAAAAAGCAGAGACATTATGCGACAATGACAAGAGGAAACTTGGTTTTTCAAAAAGAAATCACCAGAAGGTTCCTTTACATAGGAAGTTTACCTACTAAAAATGATACTTGATCTATAAAAAATTCATTTTTCATACAATTTTTAGGAAAATCATCCATTGTACTAAGTAGGGTGCACATATTGAATTTGGAGAGAAACGAATGTTTCTAAACTGAAAATCCAATTTGTCTTTGGATTAATGAATTAAAGAACTCTTGAACATTTTCCCTTACAGCATATATATTAGTTCATTTAAATACCTGGAAAATCTATGTGTCATAAAAGTAGAAACCAACTGTGGGTCTTCTATAAATGTAGTGCTTTCAATGAAACCACACTGGGCCTAAGGGCAGGAGACTTGGAATTGAAGCTGGGCGCTGACTCACTCTGTGACCTTGTATATAAGTTACTTGACCTTTCTGGGCCTCAGCTTTCTCATGTGTGAAATGAGAGAGGTTGGTCCCTTTCAGCTCTAACATTCCATGACTGCAGATAAATATAGAAATAAGATAAATACAACAATCTAGAAATAAGAAATATTCCCCAAAGTAAGCTTCAGGGTCAGTAGAAAAAGGTAGCAATGAAATATAATAAAAAGAATAAAATTTTAACTGCTAGCCAGGGTAAACATTATTTCATTTAAAAATTAATGAAAAAGTTTGTAATTTACAATTCATCAGGAAACTTCAGAACATACATATTGATATTTCTTTTTTTTTTTCCTTCTACTTTGGTAGAAAACATATTGATATTTCTTTGCCATCATACACATGGGGGAGGAATGAGTTTGAGGTGACTTGTACAATGAGCACAATGCTGCGTTTGCATGCATAACGTTTTATAAAATTGGATGTTAGAAAAAGCTCAAGACCACGTAAGGAATAAATGTTTATAAAGCTTGGCATTACAAAGAGGCTGAGAGGGGTTAACTAGTTGTTCCAGTTCAGATTTTGTTTTTGAGTTCGTTGCTATCAGATTCCACTATTTAGGCAAAAATCCTAAAATCAAATATACTTCTGCCAGAGCCTTACTGGAGAACAGCCACCATGGTGAAGACAGGTATTTAAGAGCTGGCAATGCCGAACAAACCTAACACCTTTCTCTTTTTTCCATTTGTGAGTTAAAAAAACATTTTTTTTTTAACCCAAAGCAGGCCAGATGTGCTGGCTAAGTCAAATCAAAGATTTTGCACGTTGAGCAATTAGTTGATCCAATATGATAAGTTGTTTTTTATTTATTTTTTTGAGCATATGCACCAGAGTCCCATAAAACATGAGAGTCCTCATTCTGACAATTTCTTAAAACCAAGCAAACATATGCCTGACCAAGATGACAACATACAAGTCTTGGCCAGAGACTGGTCATTATAATGAGAGCCAAAATAATGGGAAAGGTTGGAATCAGTTGGAGAGTGATGGCTATAGTGATTCAGGGGCTTGAAGGAGTAACATCATTGGAATGCACGCACACACACACACACACACACACACACACACAAACACACAAACACACACACACTCACTCCAGGGATGCTGCTGTTGCTGCTTCTGGAACTGCACTTTGAGAACCATTGACCTAGATTTTGGGCTTTAATGAGCAAAAGTATAATGCCCATTTCACATTGCTCATTACTCATGCAAATTTCTTCTTGCCAACCTTATTAAAAATGCCCCAGATGTGTGTCTATAACCATTTACTATGTATTCCTCTGTAAATCTGTTCAAAGTATTCTAAAACTTTGCTTATTTCATATTACATTTATATCATACTTTTTGCTGCCTTTTGACAAAGGCACTTCCTTATACCTCTTTCCCACTCTCTTGTCCTTTTAAATCCCTAATATCCTTGTCACTTGTTGCTGAAATACATCAAAGGCTTTGAAAGGACTGGGGGCTCTGGTATAGATATAGTCTCATTCTTACACGAAGCTGAACTAATAGCCCATAACAGAGATGAAGTGGGGAAAGCAGAAGCTTGTGTTCAGTAAAGTTGTACCTCCAATAAGTTTAATAATCACCACCAGTACTGGACGACTGACATTGGACATGGATTGGACAGTTTCACCTTTCACAAACAGGACACATTTTCACAGATTCTTTAAATTCTTGTATTCTTTTACTCAAATGGTAAGTAGTATTACTTCCATTTATGTAAAAATGTCAATGTACAGTATGAATGATCTAGGCCTTCTCAGTGGCTTTAGTAGCCATTTCTGAGAGTCCCTTGGTAGTAACCATATTGAATAGCATTGGGTATCAGGACAATTGAATTGACCATCAGCTATTAACTCAAATGATTCCAGGTGATTAAGATATTTTCTATATTCTGGAGTTAGGCGTCAGGGAATTTGGACTTTCCATGGTGAAAAAGACATTTCTACAACTAGTAGATGCCTAACATCCTGCAAGTAGAACCTCATTCCTTTGGTTTAAGGCTTTTTCCCCCTGTTAAAATGCAAGTGACCCTCAAAAGAGGTAGCATTAAGCCTTATAATCTCAAAGTAAATGAACTTATCCCTTTCCTGAGAGCATGTTTTTCTTAGAGAGGAGGAGAACGAAGTAGGAGGCACTGAGGAGAGTTGGTGCTGGGAAGCGAAGTTTGGGGAGAATGGAGCAGAAAGAGGAGAGGGAGGATCCTGGTGACAGACCTCAACTCAGTCACTCTTTTGTTGAAGGGCTGGCCCTGGGAGCATCCCTGCTGAAATGGGTGTTAACTTACCACCTGGAGCAGATTACTTAGAAATCAACTATGTTTTCCAATATTAACACTACTAAAGATTCTTTAATGTATAGGCATACAAAGACTTATAGCAATGGAAAAATAGATAGCAATAAAATATTTGGTGCAACAAGAGATAGGGAGTTACCGCCCATCCCAAATCAGGACTATACTTGTTCATAGGAAGAAGATAAACTGATATTACTTTAAAGAGTGCAAATCACAGGGCTGGGACGAGGGTAAGGCACTTGCATGGCCCTGAGAGCGGGCACCTCTTTGAATTTTGTGCCCTAGGCGCCTCGCTCACCTCACCCTAGTCCTGGCCCGAGCAAATCATATTAAAGCGAAAGCTCACCATTGTGTCACAGACTTGATGATAATGGAAGGCTGAATGAGTGAGGAATAGAGCACTGAGCATCAACTCGTCTTTTTCCCAAATTGTTCATTGATGAGAAAGACGGCAGGTACGTGGACAGATCTGCTCAGACTGACAGGTATGGAGAAAACTGCAATAGGGTCTGTGTTGTCTACATAGTTACACTGGATGTCAGGTGCAATGCTTGTTAGGAGAGCCTGGTAGGATCTCCTCTGTCTTTGTACGTTCAAGGTAATTTATCCAGATCAACTGGTCAGTTTGTGGTCATTATGCTAACATTAATTATTTTGCTTCCTGTTGTCTCACTTCCTTTATGGGTGAGTTGTTGTCTAGGGATGCAGTTCATGGGATTTGAGGCTGAGAGATAAGCTGGGGCTGGGGTGGGGGGAGGCCCAGTCGGGAGCTAAGGCAGGCCAAGCTGTGCAGGCAAAGGAGAGGAGACACTAGCAAAGCTTGCTATTGTACTAAGAATAACTACCCTCGCAAACATGTACTGACTATCCACCAAATGCAAAGCATCCTTGGTTACCAATTAACCTTCTCTCCAGGGGATAGTGACTAGATCAAAGTCAGGCTAGCAGAGCCATCTGTTGCTACTGGTTGGAATGGGGAGGAGAAAAGGGGGTAGGGATGACTTGAAATGGAAGCTGACCTTCTAGAGCCAACTTCATTTCACTCAAATCTCTTCTCTATTATACATTCAAAAATTATTATCATTATCATTTGTACTAGTAATTGTAGTAGTGGTGGGTTCTCTGTAAGCCTTCCTGAGGGGCTTTCAGCCTCTCTTCTCCAGTCGTGGCAGAGTAGGTGCAGAAGGCAGCAAACATTGTGGTAAGTGCCTGGGTGGGAGAGAGAGTGGTGTTATGATAATCAGAGGCAGGAGAGAGGTTGAGTGTTAGGAGTGGGGAAGATGCTTGGTGTTCTGTTAATCAATGATTAGTAGATGTTTTACAGTTTGGTTCTTTATTTGGGGCTACGTCTACCTGTTGCAAAATATTAAATGAGGCCAGGCACGATGGCTTACCCCTGTAATCCCAGCACTTTGGGAGGCCAAGGCAAGAGGATTGCTTGAGCCCAGGGGTCCAAGACCAGCATGGGCAACATAGCAAGGCCCCATCGTTACAAAAAATTAGTTTAAAATTTAAATGAATACTTCCAGTCTTAAATGTTCTCTCTAACCATACGATTTCTGCCCTGAATCCTCTTGTGCTAATGGGAATACCACTGGGTGGGGCACAGTGATGATGCAGAAGACACGCTAAAAATTCCAGGCATATAGGGTATTGTAGAGGAAGGCAAGACTAAAGGTAATGACAAACAAAAAGATGTCTGAGCATTCAGCTTTAGAATCTTTTGGGAAAACCTCCAGAGGTAGCAAGGTGAGGGGAAAGGCAAAGCCCACTAGAAGTAGTAAACAAGAAACTTCCAGAAAAGTCAGCAGAAGTAGCAAGGCCTATATTATGTGAGTCCCATACTCAGCTTTAAAGTTTAACTACTCATAATGGTTCCCAAGGAGCAGACCCTGGTGTTCTTTCACTTTTGCTAAGCAAAAGCACAAACACCACTTCATTTTCTACAGAGGAAAATATTTGTTTTCTGGAATTCTGAGTCTGGAGCAGACAAATGTGGCATTCATATATAAACTGAGGCCAAGGATGAATTGATTTTATTTCAGGCAAAAATCCCTAAAATTTGGAATTTGGTTAAGACCTTCACACCAAGTAGTTCCAATACCTTCAAAAGCAACTGGGCCTAGCTATTTATTATTTTAAGTGTCTTCTTTCTAAATCGGAAAGAAGTACTCATTGCAAGGGAGTTGGGGGGACCTGGCCTGCTTCCATAAATCTCAGATTCAGAACTCTAACAAGAAAGGGTCTAGGCCTGGGGCTTCTCTTGTGAGAGAAGTTTTCTCAGTACTTTTTCAGCTGCTCGGTCCAGCTGGAGTGTGGGCAGTTGAGCTAAGACATAGCTTCTCATTGGGCAATACGACCTATCAAAGTTGAGATCTGTTTATCTCTGGAACTCTTACTGCATCCTCCAGGAGGTTGACCATTGAATCTGTTGGGTGGGGGGTGACGTAGGAAGGGGCCAGGGAACCCTCTTTGTGAAGCACACTACGATTTCATTCTACTGTTCTTTTTGCCTCTTGAAGACGGTAGACAATTAACTTTCCATCATTGATCAGCAGATTTTCTTTGCTCAATGCTTTGTCTCCCCCACCACCAACCTCCCAGAAATCAGGCATACAAAAATCAAATGAATCACTGCTCTTGCTCTGCTTAGAAAATTGAGCTGACAAGCATAGTTAGTGCCTATGAGCTTCATGGGGGTGGGGGTGGGGTGAGGTCACAATGATTATTCTGAAGCTCTTTCAGTATGCCATTTACCCAGGTTCTTATGCTCTCCCCCTGCAATGTTAGTTGAAAGCTGATCAAACAGCAGAACCCAAATGGCAAGAAGTAGCCCTTTGTGTGTGTGTGTGTGTGTGTGTGTGTGTGTGTGCATTGTGGGCCATAGCAACTGGCAAGACGGCCTTTTAGGTTTTGGATAGATCCTTTCAGTTTATATGTTCTTGGTTTTTGGAACAGATTCAGACTTCCTTTAAACAAAACCAAACCAACCACAAACCATGATCTGAATTGACTGGTAAGGGGCAAGATGCACTTACTTTCATTCTCCTTGCGCCTTTGATGATGCTGTTCTTTCAGTTAATCACTTCCTGTAATGAATGTTATATGCAAATGAAATGAGAGTTCTTAGAATGCAGCATGAGCTGGGCACAGATCCTGTCTATCACTGTTGACAGACCCATGGAGGATATCAAGGTGCACTTGTGAGTTACCTCGGCTAGATCTGAGTGAACAAATGGCTGTCTTGTTTGTCGGTCAAGCTTTGTTCATTCAAAGCAACCCAGTCCTGGTCTTTTCTAGCTAATGTGGGGGGATCTATATGTTTATTGAAACTCGTCACCCTGATCTCCGTGTAGACAATCAAACTGAAAAAGGCATTAAGTTTCTGGACGGAGTCACAGTCATATTTTGCACCACAAAAGCCATCCAATCAACCCCATGCGGAAATAAGTATACCCTGCAAACCTCTCGTGAGTGCAGGGGAAAGCTAAACTGTGGTTGAGGAGGCATCAGAGTCTTTCTGTATTTGTACACAGAGCCATCAGAGCCTCCCCAGGAAAGTGAATAATGAGCAATGGCGCCCTGCGCCCCCCAGGTTTGGCAGCCTCCAATACGCTCTCACACTGCACTCCTCAGTGACAGAAGCCAGGGATGGAGCAGCCGGGTCATTGAATTGAAAAACTGGCACACGTGCCCTGGCATCTGAAAATTTCTTCTTAGTTAGTGCACACCACTGGGGGAAAGTAAGAAGAAACTCGGGAGTCAGTCATGACAAGCTTATAAGTATGAAAACATAAAAATGTCTGAGGATGATTAAGTGCCAGATGGCTTTAGCTCTAGATGAAATAGCCTCTCTCCTGCTGTCCAGAGTATGAGTTAATGTGAAAGAAATGTAGGCTCTGCTGTTATTCCCACGGTTCTGTTTAAAGACCCTTTCTCTTCCCCTTTCTCTACTCAAATTTAGTAAGTAAACCCTGCTTGTTGAGCCCAGGGCTTAGATACTGGGGTTATCGGTGGTTTCATAGTCTTTTGAAAATTGTGCAATAATTCTCCTAGCCAGTGGGTTAGTGGTCTTCAGCAGTTCAGCTGCTGAGGGACGAGACCTTGGAGTTGCCTTACTTCCCTTCTTCTGTAGCAAGGCCTTGAAATCGTCGTTTCTGCCGGCATCTAGGTTGGCACCGCTGCCTGACCCTGCGGTGGTGGTAGACTCACTGATTGGAAACTCAGCTGTGTTTTTTATTGGTGAGTGGGAGCTCGCTCTGCCGCCCACAGAGGCCTCACCAGGTTCCTTCCAGCCGAGCAGCTTCCTTTTGGACCTAGATAAGAGGAAGTCTGGTTTGAGTGAGTTCACGCAGCAGACATTTACCAATGCTTCACAGAACCCCATGTCTGTGACACAATCCAGGCGGCAGCCCTGCAAGCAGTCATATTGACTTGCTTTTTCTCGCTCTCATCTCTAAATCCTCAGAGCCCCTTGTTGGACCTTTCTGTCCCCACATTCCTTTCAATGCCCCCAGCTGGAGTCACTTGTCCTGTGCCTGTAGGCTCAGTTCTGCCCAGGTTCAGGGACCAAGGATGAATTTCAGGAGTCAAGGCTAGTAGCTCAGCGACTCTGAATCAGGACAGCCTGGGGACTGATCCTGTTCTGAACTGGTGCTGTAGCTCCAATAATAAACTCTTGCCAGTTTTCTTGTCACTGAACCCCTGCCTTGTAACGCTGTCCAATAACTAGTCCCCATCTAGTTCCTCCTTGCCTAAGTTCCTGTTTTGATATGCTGCCTGGTGCTCCACTTCACCTCTTGATGGGAGTTTTTGGTCCAAGGAATTCTGTTAAGGGTTAAACGTCTCTGACTATAGACAGAGCTAAGAGAGAGCAGATGGAGCCACAATAGGCCAAGTGGTTGCTAGGAGACGAGGGGCCTCTCACTCGGCACCTGGTCCTCCTCTCCTCTCCCTTCCTCCACTTTACCCAGTGATGTCAGTGAATTTAAGCTGGGAGGCCCGAGACTGTGCTCACATATATGGGTATCTGAACTTTGCCTCCAGATGCAATTCTAATGGCTGCTTAGAGGCAGCAGTTTTTCTCATTTTTAATTTTTTTCTTTTTCTTTTACAGTTAGGATTTCAAAATGGAATAGCAGTTTTTCTTTAAGTACAAGGAGGGAAGGCAATTGCAATTAGAATTAAGGAAATTGGTGCAGACCTGTGTATCACAGTAAATAAATCTTCAGTTGTGCGTGAAGCCACAAACACGTCATCATCATCCTCCGCAATCCATTCGGCTGTTTTATCACTGATTAAACTTTTTTCTTCGGTGCCTTGTTCCACAGAGCTCCCTAGATATAAACACCAAAAGGAATGACTTTGACCACAATAGATAGGACAAAGTGCATTCTCATATGTTATTTCATTTGATGTTCAAAGCAACTCTGTGAGAGCAGCAGGGTGGAGAGAGATTTTTTAATATCTCCATTTTGCAGAAGAGGAACATGAAGTTCAGAAGCTTAATGATTTGCCCAAGGTGGAGTGAGTGGTGAAGTTCAGCATGGATTCCTGTTCTCTCATGCCTTTGTCATTACAACAGGTGGCCTGAGCATTCTCTTGTTTTAAAACTGTGTATCATTTCTCTAAATGAAGGAGCTGGGAGTGATCTAAAGTAGTGACTCTCACCTGGTGGGTGAGAGTGGGACCTATCTGAATCTCAGAGGGGAGCCTGTGGAGTCTGAGGAAGCGTTTTCTACAACTACCTATGGCTTTGATTTATTTGATTGGCTTAGTCATGATTGACTTATATTGAAAGTCCAAACCTGCATACAGAAGGCCATGAGATTTTGACTTTTGGTGTTAAGGGCTCAGAAAAAGATGAGAAACATGGATGAACCCTGACAACATTAAGCTAAGTGGAATAAGCCAGTCACAAAAAGACAAATACTGTATGATTCCACTTATATGAGGTGTCCAGAGTCAAATTCATAGAGCCAGAAAGTAGAATGGTGGTTGCAAGGGAGGAATCTGCGGGGAGAGGGAAAGAGGAGTTGTTGTTTACTGGGTACAGAGTTTCAGTTTTGCAAGATGAAAGGAGTTCCGGAGATTGGTTGCTCAACAATGTGAATGTGTTTAACAGGAATGAACTGCACGCTTAAAAATGGTCAAGATGGTAAATGTTATGTGTACTTTACCACAATGAAAACAAAAAGAGACAGAAAAAGAAAGGATGAGAAATGTTACACATTATGTTTTATGGTTCCAGGAAGAGCCAAAGAACTCAAACCACCTAAGAAAGTGAGTTCCCTTTCCTCTGGAAGGCACAAACAGAGGCTGCTGGTGGCAACATATTTCATTGTTTCAGATGCCTCCAAGCCTGCCATGGCACTTGAATTCAGTCTGGAGGGGGGGCTACTGAGTCCCATGCAGGGAACTAAGTTCAGTGCAGCCAATGAAAAGTACTGTACAGTAAGGTGGAGAAGTAGTTCCCATGACAGGATGCCTGCTTGACTAGGGAGGTGGGATGCTGAAGTCCTAGGGTACTAGAACCTAGCTTGATTTCATTATCTCAGAAGTAGGGTTTAGAGGGGAGAGTGGCCTAAACTGGGCCTTAGAGATCTGCCTTGGGCCAGTCTTGATCTCAAGGGCAGTAAGGCCGGCACATGGTTCCTATTTAGAGTAAGCCAAACCCTCAAGAGGTGCCCACTACTGACTTGAGATCAGGATAATTATTCCGGGGCATCTGCTTCCATCTCTGGCACTCCACTCTCACCCTCATCTCTCCTGTGATTGCAGGGAAAAGCCAGCAGACAGTATACTAACCCAGAGGGCTTGCCTCCCTTTCACTGTCAGCCTGTGGAGTTGAAGTCATTCTTTGACCAGGTGATTGCAGGTCATTGCCAGCTGGGAGACACTTGGCGTCTTCCTCCAGCGTGATGATGGGGCTGAGAGAGAGCCTTGGTTCTGACACACAGGCCTCCATTTGAGCTGTGGGAGAGGTGAGAGGCAGGTACAGCACGCTGGGTTTTTTTGGTACGGGAGGTGGAATCTTGCTTTTCTTTTTCTCAGCTTCTTCCTGGCTCTGGAGGCTAATTCTTTCAGGCAAGGCTCTCACCTTGGGGCCCTCGTCCTCCACACTTCCCTGGGGAGGCTGCTGTGTTCCTGAGAAGAAAGCACCAGAGGAACTGGCAAAAGGCATGAAAACAAGAGATGAGAGTGCTGTTGACTCCCCAGGGCTTCTGCCATCTGGGAAGCTGGAGGACTTTGGTTTCCGCACCACCGTGTAGCTGTCTTGAGGGAGTTGTCTCGCATGTTGAATTGAGCTCCTGGGGGGCATAGCCAAGGTTGGCGAAGTTAGTGGGTACTCCTCGGGGACAGATGGTGGCTTGTGAACCAAGCTTGGAGGCCTTCGGGCCACTGGAGGCTTCTCAGCTACGGGAGGTTTCATCTTTCTCTCTGGCAAGGTGAAGACTTCTGCTCTGGTTTCCTCGGCACAGTCAGGGCTCTCAATGTCATCTTCCGGCTCAGACTTGCTGACCGACCTCAGGCGAACAGAACGTAGGTCGGACTGAGTAACCATAGGCATGATTGGCTGGTTGGGACTAGTTTTCTGGGCCAGCTTGGCACCAAAATTTGTCTCTGAGTGATGCCGACTCACCTTGGTTTTGCTTCGGATGGAGATACTCATCCCAGACAGATCCAGGTTGGGTGAAGAGGTCAGTGGTAGGTCAAATGATAGCCGTGACTTGGAAAATCTCTCCATTGGTGACATTGGGGGTAGCGATGATTTCCTCTCAGGTACCACTGGACGTACTCGGACACTGCTGCTTGCATGGGGTAAGTGGCCCATGGTCAAGGACATGGAAACAGTGGGAGTTGGTGTCTCTGACTGGCTGGAGTAGCCACTGGAGGGTGACATCAGTCCCGGGGGCCTTCCTGGGGAGGATATCTCCCTAGCTTCCACTTCAATGGAGAGTTGGGAAGGTGTAGTGGCTCTGGAGGTGGAAGGCGAGGCAAGAGACTCTGAGCTGCCCTGAACTTGGGTGCACTCAATGACTGTGGTGCCGGTGGCAGTGCTGGAGCTGGACAGGGATTGGTAAGTGTCACCAGACTTCCAGTCAGTAAGATACCAGTGGTGGGAGAATTGTGTACCTTCTGGATCTTTGAGGTTTGGCACAGCTGGGTGACCCTGAGCATCTGGGTGGCACGAGTGACGTCCTTGGTGTTCCAAGGAGAGGCAAAGACTCTTGGGCCTCTGGTCCTTGGATAGTGCTTCAGGCAAGAGGCCTGGCTCATCTTTGACTAGTGAGACACTGCGTGTGGGTGGGGAAGGCTTCTTTTTGGCCTTCCTGAGTGAGATACTCTTGGACCTCTGCCTTCTGTGCTGGGCCTCTTGTTGGGCACTAAGGGAGGCGATGTTGTCAGCACTGTTACTGCCCTCAGAGCTCGTACTGGCAAAAGGCAAGGCACAGGCCTCACTGGCCTTCTGCTCCTCATCATAGTCAACATCTGCGGTGCCTGAGTCTGTGGGCACAGACAGTGACCGCTCCCGGAATCTGCTGGCTCCACCGGGGCCTGTCTCCAGCCTCGAGGTCCCACTGGTCAGAAGGCCAACCTTGGAGGGTCTTTCTGTCATGTGCCTTCGCTGAATAAGGCGCTCAGGGTAGCCAGCTGACCCACTGCATCCTGCTGGGTTATCACGAGCGACAAGGAGAGTAGCAGCCTCCTTAGGAACCAGAGGTGGGACTGTGTTCACAGAGACCCAAGAATTCCCACAGGAAGGATTTTTCCCACTTTCATTGACTTGATTGTTCTTGCTGGTGGCACTTGGAGTCATGTAGGTAAAAGCATCTCCCTTCCAGGAAGTGGAGGTTGATTCTGTAGGTCCATTGCAAGAACTGGGGACACTGTACACCATTCCCATGCTCTCCATGCCAGGAGGGTTTGGGCCACTCTGTGCCTGGTGAGGTTCGTCCGGCTCACTGGAAGGAGTTTTCAGTACTGGCGAGGAAAGGCTTGGGAACCGAGCGTCCTGACCATCTGCAACTCTTCCATGAACCCCTTCCGGAGCTGAGTGACTGGGCCTGATGTCGGAGGTGGTCGAGTGGGCCACAGTGCCTGCTGGGCTGTGGCTGTGACCTGGAGGAAAGAAACACAGAACATGAGCACTGCAGCAAGGGATCTCCCACCAGCTGTTTTGAGACAGCAGCACCAACTTTTTGCCAAGAAGCATTTTTGCCAACAGTTTGGTCAGAATTCCTTGGTTCTTCTCTTCCATAGATGAGGATGCTGGGGAAGTTGGGTCCTTGTCCGTCACCCCACAGTGAATCACAGGGTGCCCTTGAATGGTCCAGATGGCTGCCAAATACTTTCCAGCTTTGATTATTCCCCTTAGAGCTGAAGTGTCATGTGGGACTACCTTGCATTTTTCCCATACTTTCACCCCAGGCTCATAAAACTATCACAGACCTCAGTGTTCATCCATTCAGCGATGAGAGCAGAGGCTTTCGAACTAAGGACAGCATGGTGTGACTTTTGGCTCCAGCAGTAACTCTGGAGTACGACCAAGCTGCAAAGCTTAGAGTCTGGTTGCATTGTTTGCACCTGTCACTTTTAGGCTTTGCAACATAAGGCTGAGGATAACCTGTAGATGTGAGGAAACCGTTTGGATGTTCCAAATCCCCAAAGGTTTTCTCGTACACACAAACAATACTATCATGTCATTATTATTAGTAGTAGTAATATTATGACTACTACTGCTATGAGAATTTGTAGTAACAGCCACCATTTGTTGGGCACTGACTATGTACCAGGCACATGGTAGGCAAGTTACATACAATAACACTAATCTTCATGCTAATTCCACTGGGTTGGTATTATTATCCCCCCTTTATAGATGAAGAAGCTGAGGCTCAGAGAAGTTATGTAACTTGGCCAAGGTCTTCCGGTTAGTAAGTGCAGAGGCCAGGGCTCTTATCCTCTGCTATCTCCCTGGGCTGTGCTCTTTGGCCAGCATTCACTTAATGGTAGTAATGGTTCTGTTAAGATGATGGTGAGGATCCCTCTCCCCTCATCTATTTGTCTAAATTTGGCATATCTGGTTATATTACATTTATAATGGGAAACAATGTAATGGATTCATTAGCCCGGGAGACCTACTCTCCGTATTCAGTTGCCGCCCTTGATGAGAGGCACTTAGCTATTCTTAATTACCATACTGGCTTTTTCAGGACATTCGAGGGCCCCCCTCCCAATTATTCCTGTTCCCCATCACCACAATATGACCTGAGTGGCAGGATTGGTGGGAGTGGGTAAGGGAAATGGACTGGGGAGTCAGCTGTGGTGGGGTCACCTTGGTCTCGCTGGGAAAAGTTAGAGAATCCAATAATGGTCCGCCTCCGCCTCAGGGTGGACTTGGGGTTCACGGCTGTCTCTGTGTTAAACAATGAGTGTCGCAAACTTGCATGTTTATCAAACTGCTGCCCTGTAGCCAAAATAAAGACACTTGGGTGCATCCTGATTTCTGTTTAAAGCATAGTGGAAACTGGCCCAAGGTAGAGAGAAGGAATGATGGCAGTCGTGATGAGCATGAGTAGCGTCTAAGGCAGGTGGCACTTCTTCCCCATCCTTCCCAATTTGGCCCTGGGCATGCATGCTGGGTTTCTCAGGCATGGAAGTGGCAGTGGTTTTCAACACTGGGGTACATATTGAAATCCACTGGTCAGCTGTTGAAACTGCAATACCTGGCCCCCACCCCAGAACACTGAAATCTCTGGGAGTAGGGCTCACATAGAAGCATTTTCTAGAAGTCTTCAAGTGATTATTCAGAGGTACAGTCAGGGGTGAGAACCACTGGTGTAGAGCAGCAGGCTGCGACTAGATGCTGCTTGACTGTGATCTTTTCTCAGAGAAGGCCTTTATATGGGCCAGGTGAGGCCAGTGTCTCCAAGAGGCTGCCCTACTGCCCTCCACCATCCAGGAAGATGCCTGATAGTCTGTCACCTCGTCACATTTTACCAAATCTGGCCCACAGCATAGTGATTGAGCTCTATTTCCTTCTCTCTCTCTCTTTTCTTTTCTGGCACTGATTTTTTCAATTCAGGAAAATTATTGACACAAATTATAGTTATCGTTTCCTCTGAGTTACATGACACTTTCAAAATACCTGTTAATTCAGTTTGTTTACTGACTTGATAATGTTTTTAAATTTAATAAAATTAAAATGGAAGATTTACTTAGTAATATGCCTTACTTAATATTATCAAAAATTTTTTTAGAGCTCTATTTCTCTTAAAGTGCTAGGTCAGTCTTTGGGTTCTGGAAAATACTTGGGTCAGAGTCAGGGCAAGGCAGGGTGATGGGGCAAGGTCTGTGGTCCTCCTCCCTTTCTCTCATTCAGCAGCTGGCTAGCCAGACCCTCCCCCACCAGCCGCACAGCCGCATACATTCACAGATATCTCAGCAGGTGGCTCTGTGGGCAAAGCTCAGGGACAGCCTCACTGAGAGGAAGACAGACATTTATTTGTTTATTTAGAGACAAAGTCTCACTATCACCCAGGCTGGAGTGCAGTGGTGCAATCTCAGTTCATTGCAACCTATGACTCCTGGGGTCAACTGAGCCTCCCACCTTAGCCTCCCAAGTAGCTGGGGTCACAGGTGTGCGCCACCACACCTGGCTATTTTTTTGTATTTTTGGTAGCGATGGGGTTTCACCATGTTGTCCGGGCTGATCTTGAATTCCTGAGCTCAAAGTATCCACCCACGCCAGCCTCCCAAAGTGCTGGAATTACAGGCGTGAGCCACTGTGCCTGGCCAAGATAGACATTTAGACACAAAATGTTCAACATCACTTCTGGAGTCTTTCCTCATCAGCCCTCACTCCTTTTGGTATATTTCCCTAGGCTGTGGGCTCTATTTCCTGCCTCTGATTTTCTGAAATGATGCCAGTGATAGTGGAGGACCCCATATCCAGGGAGCATTGCCATGTGTGGCCAGAGCTGTCCTCCTCATCTTCATCAACATTTCCCAGCAGAGCACAGGCTAGCGCTGGCTCACAGGACCCCTCTGATCCTTTTAGGTTACTGAGGTCATAGTTTCATCATGTCACTGGCCCTATCTCCTCAAATGACTGGCCCTCCTTCTATTTACCTTACAGCTGATGGAGGGTAGATCATGGATTAATAGTGAGCATGGTATAGTGTGCCATATGCCCCCAGAGCCACAGCCAGCTGGGCTACCTATAATTCATCATGCTACCCACTCTCAAAGTTGTACTGGGTCCCCTTTTGGTCTTTTTGGCCAAAGGACCTTTATAACACTTATTTTGGTCTTTTTGGCCAAAGGACCTTTATAACACTTATTTTCTTGAAAACTTGCCAAACAAGTTGAGGAGGCCCACCTTGCTAGAAGACTAATGTCCAGCAAAAGTGCCACCAGACCTTTGGTCTGTGTCCAGGTGTGATCCTCCCTTGTTACCACCAGCACTCCAAACCCCATTCTCCTGCTTTGACTCCTGTCGGTGTACTGCAAACCCAGCTCTGGGCACAAGAACTTGTCTTTCCCAGACCCAAACAGAACTCATAAACTTTAAGTTTCCATATATGCTCTGATGAGCACACAAATTCATAAGCCTTTCGAGCTTTCTGTTAAGAAAATTAAGTTTGCTATTAAATGGTCTCATTAGGGTGGCAGTGCCAGGAAGGGGTGAAGAAAGAGCAGCCAGAGCCCCCTCTTCTGCATGCCTCCGTTCCCTGGCGAGAGCCATGACTGTGACAGCGCAAGGTGAGCTGGCAGCAAAGAAAGTCTCACTTCCCTCCCCCAGCACCCAGTGCATTGAAGAGGATGGCCTGTAGAGGGATGAAGGGAAGCAGCCAGAGGTGGTGCTAAGCAACTCTACCAGAGATGTTGATGGGCACAATGTCAGACTGTGTGGAGCAAGGCTGAGGCCACCGCTTCTCCTCTAGGAAGGGCGGAGGGAAGAAGCTATTCCAGGCAGTTTGCTTGTCGGCTGTGGTAGACAGGCTCAGGGAGGCCTCCGGGGCCCTCACACCCTGGGTGGTAGTTTCATCCTCACTCAGCTGCCGTTTTGTAGGCTGTTGGGAGAGAAGGTGATGGAAAGGGTGTACTCCTGCCTGGCGATGAGCCAGTGCCCACAAGGTGGCTGTTTAGGCTGGGTAGTTGGAGGCTTCATCTGGGAGGCAGAAAAGTGTGGACAGGCCGCCAGGCCAGACGCCTGCTGTGCAGGGCCCTTCTGGGTGGGGCCTCAGGGTAGCTCTCCTGGTGAGCAGAGGTGAGCAGCTTCCAGTGGGTAATGTAAGCAGCTGGAGGTCTCCTGTCAGTGGGTGCATGCTGGCTCTCCCAGGTGGGGGATGAAGCAACTCACCATCAATACAAACTCCAGACGCCTGGCAGACTGGGGCCTTGGGTTGGGGGTGGGCTCAGGGGCCTCATCAGAAGAGCGAAAGGTCTGCCCCAGAAGTCTGGCCTCCGAGTAGTGTTCCTCATATTCTTCTGAAAAATAGCACAGTGGAGACACACTCTAGGGTGCCACGGCCAAGCGCTGGGCTGGGGAAGGGTCACTAGCCAGGGCTCCTGCTCTAGCTGTGAGGCCTGACTCTCATTGTTTCTTTAGGCTATTTCCGGGTGTTTGAGATTTGGAAATGGAAAAGTGCTTGCTTCCCAGGATCATGAGGGTTGAGAAGAGAAAGTCAGTATATTCATGCTGTGGTGGTTTGGGGACCAAGCCCTTATCTCAATAACCCTCACCTTGAGTGCTCAATTATGAAAAGAGGTTCAGGATGCAGACACCTTTTGCTACTTTGGACTGCAAGGTCCTGTCTTTGAAGCCCTGCAGCTCTTCAGGTTTTCTGCGACCCTACCAAGGAAATGACCTGTGTGAAGCAAGAAGAGATTTACACCCAGAAGTCCAATCTGGAGTTCTCTCTTGGATGTCAAGAATTCTTACTTGAGCTTTTGTGGGTCAGGTTCCCTGCACCTTAGTCCCGCTGTGAATGGTGTCAGGTCTAGGAGGGCTAAGGTGAAGGAGAGGGAAGGAATAGGTAACAGCCTAAAAGAGGCAGAAGTTCAGTGGCATCATCAGTGAATAAGGAAGCACAAGATTTGAATGGGGTTGATTGAAGTGATGAATTTGATGAATACATGAAGACAGTAAGAGTAGAGAAGGAACATTCATGCTCACTGTACACCGACAAAGACTCTTAGAATCATAGAGATTTGGGGTTGTTTTTAGGGTTCTTTGATCCAACACCTCATTCTGTGTCCAGACTGCCTCCTCAGTAGCCCTTTTAGGTGCTTCTTCAGCCTCAGTGCACACACCTGCAGGTAATGGGAGCTCCCTCCCTCCCAAGGCAGCTCATTTCTTCCATGGACAGTTGGGGCTGTCAGGCATGTCAGAAAGTTCTTCCTTATCTGGAGGTGGAATGTGCCTCCTTCTGGGTTTCCACCCACTGGTCCTAATTCTGCCACGGTAGCAACACAGAGCACATCGACTCTTTTGCTATGTGGCAACTCCTTTGTTATCTGAACAGAAGGCTCATGGTGACCCTTGGCATCTTGCTTTTCCAAGGTCACCACTGCCCTGGTAGGGGGTGGGGGTTATGGCTGTCATCCTATTGGTGGCCCATCAGCAGTTTTCTAGTCGCTGTTAGAGTTAACCTTCATTAATATAGATAAAGGAGTGCTGACGAGACCTCTTTTCATGCTTAATATCCACTAAGCACCTCTTGGGGGATGAGGAGGAAATCCAGCTGTGTTCCAGGTGCTTCTGCAAACCTAAGGGTAGTAAGATATGAATTTTTTTTTTTTTTTGAGATGGAGTCTCGCTATGATGCCAAGACTGGAGTGCAGTGGTGTGATCTCAGCTCACTGCAGCCTCCGCCTCCTGGAGAATCAAGCGATTCCCTTGCCTCAGCCTCCTGAGTAGCTGGAATTACAGGTGCCTGCCACCACGCCCGGCTAATTTTTGTGTTTTTAGTAGAGATGGGGTTTCACTATGTTGGCCAGGCTAGTTTTGAACTTCTGACCTCAAGTGATCCTCCCTTCTTGGCTTCCCAAAGTGCTGGGATTACAGGCGTGAGCCACCGTGCCCGGCGGTAAATGTGATTCTTTACATCGAGAAGCTCAGCTTGGTTAGGAGGACAAAATTGGTGACCCCTGGGTGCTGTGTATTGGGCTTACTTTGGTGAGGTAGTAGCTACCCAGGGGGCAGTTATTGCAAGAGCAGAGTGAGTGAAGCGTAGAGTGGGAGATCCTGCAGATGCCCCCTTTGTCTTCTGGTGCCAGGATCCAAAAGGCATAGGCGGAGTGGCAAGGGGGAGGGGGCTGGAGGGAATGTGGGCCCACATTGTGGGAGTGTCCCACCCAGCTTTGGGTGAATGGCATGACTTATGGCCCTGCCTCAGTCTCTGTTCTTGTTTCCACATGGGGTTCTGAGCTGAAAAAAGGGGGTGGTGGGGGAAAATAGCCCTGGAAATAGCCTCTTTCAGAATTATTAGGTTGAAAGGTGAAAGCTGGAAACTGCTTTGTCGATTGGTTTTAAACTGTTTTCTCTGTTTCTCTTGCTGGTCCCTGTCCTCTTTCTTTGCCTCCCTCCTGCCACTGCGTATCTTTCCTCTGGGCTCGGCCGCAGCCCCCCTCCCTCTCGGTACCTTGCAACAGGCTCTGGAGATTGAGCTGCGCCTCTCGAAGCAGCTCCTCTACACTCGGGGGCCTGCCCGAGGAGAGGAACACGTTCACTGGCTGTCGCCATGACGACCTCGAGTGGGCAGTCGCTGTCGCATTTTCCCGACCCGAGTTAGCAGCAGCTAGGGAAGGAGAGAGTCAGTGAGAGGCACAGGCGAGCTGGGGGGGAGCGGCGCGCGGCGGCCAGTGGGCGCCCGCCGTTCCCCAAGGCCCGCCTCTGCGTGGGGCGGGAGGAGTGAGAGTCTGCGCTTAAAAGGCGAGGAATCGCCGACCGCAAGATTTTTCCTCGACAGATTCTGCCGCAGTCCGCTCCTTCCCGCTCCGCTCGTCTCTGCCTGCCTGCCCGGTCGCCGCCGCCGCCGCCGTGTCGCCCGCGTCCTCCGGGCCCCGTACCGCCGCCCGCCCTCTCCGGCCCCGGCGACGAGGTAACGCGCCCCAGGCCGAGCCGCCGGGCCCTCCGCCCCGAGCGCCGTCCTCTGAGCTCGCCCCGGTGGGTGTGGCCCTGTCTGTCCCGCGCCCCGCCGCCGCACTTCGGTCCCCTCCCGCGCCCAGTCGCAGCATTTCGGCCTCCTCCTCCTGTGGCCCGTAGCTCCTGTCCCCTTTTCCCCACTACGGAGCCCCAGGGCCCCTGGGCTTGTCAAGATGTCTGAGGCGACAGGAAATCTCAACAGCCTCCGCATGGCGAATGTGGCCCTGCGTGAAGAATTAAATGCCCTTCGCGGGGAGAATGCCAATTTGGGCCTCCAGCTGGGAAGAGCCCTGGCGGAGGTTAATTCCTTGCGGGGCAATGTCTCGAGCTACATCCGCTGGCCAGTGCCCATAGTGCCCGTCCTAGCGGAGGAGAACTTGGAGTTCCCGCTCAGTGAGATCGAAGCCATTCCTGGGGGAGAGCTGCCCTTCTCGTGCCGGCCTCCCCCACGCGCGGAGCCCGAGTGTATCTCGGATGATCTTTTGATTAACGTGATCCAGGATTGCAGCAACCCCGACGGGCCCGCTGACCCTCCTCTGCTGCCCATCTCGCCCCCGCCGGCGCTGCCCCCGCCCGCGTCAAAGGAGCCGCCCCCGCAGCCCCCTCTGCCACCGCTGCAGCGGCCTGAGATAGAGCCCTTTTCAGGCGACCCAGTCTACCTAGCTGAATTCCTGATGCAGCTAGAGACCTTCATAGCCGACCATGAGGATCATTTCCCTGGGGGCGCCGAGCGGGTGGCCTTTCTGATCTCCTTTTTCACTGGCGAAGCCAAGGACTGGGCCATCTCGGTCACCCAGGAAGGAAGCCCCTTGCATGCCAACTTCCCGCGCTTCCTGGATGAAATCCGTAAGGAATTCTGTGGCCCCATCCCCCCACGTGTGGCTAAAAAGGCTATTCGCAAGCTCAGGCAGGGCGACTGTACCCTCGGCAGCTATGCAGATGCTTTTCAGTTCCTGGCTCAGTTCTTGTCTTGGGATGACTGCCGCCTCCAAAACCAATTCCTCAAAGGCCTGTCGGAATTCTTCCGCAAGGAGCTTTTATGGTCAACAGAAATGGCCGACCTGGATGAGCTGATTCTAGAATGTGTGGAGATAGAAAGAAAAGTGCGCGTCCCCAAGCCTATCCCGCTCCCTGGGGTTCGCAATATCCTCTTCCCTTTTGCTCCGAGTCCCAGTGAGGAAGAAAGTGAAGATGAAGAGTACTACAGTGAAGATGAAGACCAAGAGGCACACAGGCACAGGCTTCACCCCAAGGACCAGAGGAAGTGCATAAGGGCTTTTCAGCAAGAGATGAAGGAGAAGGAGGAGGAGGAGGAGATGAAGAAGGAGGAAGAAATCAAGAAGGAAGAGGAGGAGAAGGAGGAAGAGGAGGAAGAGGAAATGAAACAGAAAGAGGAGGAGGAGATAAGCAACAAGAATGAGGAGGAAGGAGAGAGTAAGGGTGAAGAAGATGAAGATGAGGATGGGGGCCAGACACCAGAGCAGGAGCCAGGGACTGAAGAGACCTATGGTGAGGCAGAGGAGGAGCCCCTGGATGAGGCCCAAGATGATGACCTAGATGAGCTGATGGAGATGGAGCCGACCTTTGTTCACGCGTCATCCCAGACTTCTGGTCCCACAAGTGGTTACCATGCCGAAAACTTCCTGGGTGCATCGCCTCCCATAATACAGCCCAGCAGACGGAGGAACCAGAATCGAGTCCCACTTCTGGAAGGCCTTCCAGGCACCAATTCACCATTCTACAGCTCACCCCCACTGATTCGCCGCACAGGTCGCTTGGGGCAACGCCAAGTTCGAAGACGGCCCCCTGTGCTTTTCCGCCTCACTCCGAGACAGGGAGGCCACCGAGCTGCTCGTGGCCGAATTCGAGTGTGAGTGCTGGGGCCAGATGGCCACCCAGAACACACCCTTCTTTTGCGTCCCCTGCCCCTGCTATTGCTGCCATACCTGCCCCATCTGCTGACCAGACTTCAGGGAGTTTCAGACCTGCAGAACCTGAAGAAGACCTGCAGAACTCCAGACCATCTTGCAGCCATGACCAGAGAGTAACATGTGGCCAACCAGGGCCACCTGAGAAAGGAGGGATTAGCAATAGCTGCCCTCTTGGCATGTACTCTGCTCAGTCCTGCCATGAGCTGGAGAGCAAGTTTCTGGGCCTGTTCCCATAAATGCACTGGTCACCCTCTTGTCTCCCCCCTCTGGTTGTTCCTAACCCTCACCTCTCCTGCGTTTCTTCACCCTGTGTTCTACAGTTTTATCTCTCACTGACCCATCAGGACTTCACCCAATGCCTCACTGACCTGCCCCAATGAGCAAGAGGATAGGCTACCCTGAACTCCTAAAGCCACTGAGGCCAGTTGCTGGATAGACTCAATGGTGGGCAAGACGGTCTCAAGAAATGTCCCTAGAAGCCTACACTCTTTTCATGTCACACCTCCAGCAGAGGGCCTGGAAGAGGACCTGACATCTAGCCCAGTGAGAGTGTGCAAAACCACATGTCAAATGGACAACTTGACCGAGATTTGCCCTTGACTGACTGTGCAGGCTGGTTCCACTTACAGCACTGGAATGTACCTTTGCATAGACTCCCGTATCAGGGCTCTTGGACTGGCTTGCCACATCTGGAGCCCTTTCCTCTCACCGCATTGCCCTCCTGGGCACCCCTGGTGGACAGCGCCCAGCATTGCAGGCTCTACCACTTTCCTTGATGTTGCCTAAAGGGTAGCCAGTTGGGGTTTGGGGAGGAGAAGGAGGAAGAAGAGGAGGAGGAGAAAGAAGCAGTAATGATCATTCTGCCATTGTAGAGAGTGACTCTTTCCTTAGGAAAGGTGGTCTTCTCCCCCTGCCAGGCTTTGGATTGCAGCCCCCAGTCAAATGCCCGACTGGCCATTCTGTCTGAGAATGACAGACAGAGGGCCCATGGCCTGTTCTGAGCTCCCTTCGACTTCAAGGATCCCTTAGTTTTGAGAGGAGAAAAGGCTGCACCCACCGTGGCCTCACAGCAGGGACCCCTTTTCATGTCTTTGAACTGGGGGCCAATCTAGGGTAGCTGCCTCTTAGGAACTCCTGGGACTTCTGGGTACAAGCTCAGGTGCCCTTATAAAGAGACCCGCTGCTTGCCTTGAGTCCAGAAATCACTGCTTCTGCAGTGAAAAAAACACATTTACTATGTCAGTTCTGGCCACAGAATGCTAGCCAACTCCACTGCTGGCCTGAACTGCCCCTGGACACTGGACTTTTGCACAGTGCCTGGCAGCAAAGCAAGTGCGGCCAGGGTTTGTGGCCAAAGGAATAGAACATAGTAAATTCAACCTTTGTTCCTCATGGGAGTCTGACCAATAACCTCAGCCCGACCTTAGGATCTTGGGCCTGGATGGAGGCAAGAGGAAGAAGCTGGAGGAAGAGGAGTTGCAGAGAAACCCAGTCCTCCGACTGGTTTCTGGTGAGGTCTCTATTCATCATTGGGAGGTAAGGTGCCTTTTTCATTAGCGCTTTTGTTTCTCAGCCTGGGGAATCAGTGGAGTTGTGTCCCTCTAACCTGTTGCTACCTTTTAAAAAGATCCCTTATCTCTAAAGAGAAAAGTAATACATAATCATTAAAGAAAGTTTGGAAAATAGAGAAAACTATAAGGACAAAAAACCCCAGACCTTCAGAGTCCCATCGCATAGATGCAAGCACTATTAACACTTTGCTGCCTTCATTTCTAGTGTGTTCTTGGTACGTCTTGTCAAAGCTGAGATCATCCTGCCAGTTCTTGATCAGCAGGATTTAAAATGGCTGCTGCCTGTGCAGTCATGCATGCTGAATAATTCATTTAAGCATTCTCCTAATTTGTTGGACCTTTCAATTGTCGGGTTTCCCCCATCCCCACCAGGGCAGGAGTAAACAACTTTGTCAAGAAAAATTTGTTTTTCAGCTGATTTTGTCTGATTTCCTCAGGAGTGCATTCCAGAAGGGGACCTGCTATTCTTCGAGGCTGTGGACCCTGTTTGCTGATGGTTGACACTCTGGCCCTGCTGCCTCATGTCCCTGTGGAGAAGTGTGAAGGACGGGTGCCTTACACCCACAATTCCAGGGACCCTTCAGCATAGGCCCTGCCTGTTCCCATGGTGCTTCTCACCCTGAACCCTCAGAACCACAACCAGGGACAGAGCAGATGAGCTGTGAGCTGGTTTCCACCCTCTGGGGGCAGGAGGGGCTTGGGCTTCCCTTTGACCCTCTTCCCCCCTTTCCCAGATCTTCAATATTTGTTGTGATATAACAGCCGTAAGAGCTGTAAGAGGAACTGTGGGCTTTGGGAGCTTTCTTGGGTTGAAAGAGGGGCGGGGGGAGGGGATGCATGCAGGGGTATGAAGGCAGCCCAAGGTCTCCCAGAAGCTCGGGAGGAAACCCGTTTGGAATATATGAGTTATTGTTTCATTACTGTGTTGTGAAGATAAGAAACTGCTCTGTATGCTAAAGCTTTCTCTCCGCAATAAAAATATAAAGGGTGTGTAAAGATTGTGTCTCTTTGTTTTTGAGCAAACATAGATGGGTATAGGGTAGGCATCAGGTGCTTCCAAGGCCCCCTGCTGGAATCAAGCCTACCCTGAAGTCTTGAAATCCTTAGACGAGGAAACCAAGGCCTGGCGAAGCTCAAGGGACCTGCCTACAGTTCTGTGTATTTGTGGATGGCAGAAATTGTTGGGAGGGAAGTGGAAGCACTGGACATCTTGAAAAATAGCATTCGTTCTCCCGCGGAGTAGGGTGGCCCAGCCCTGCAGGCACTCAAGGGCACGCTTGGAACTTTGAGTGAAGGAAAAGAAAGAGGCCGGGTTGGGTGGGGAGGGCCCTTCTGCTTTTTGACACTAGGTGGCGCTATGAGATGCCAGTGAGTTAGCTGGTGAAGATGAATCATAAGTCCCCAGAGCAGTCCATGTAAGAAGCCCTCCCAGGGGAACATCACACACTGGGGTCTGTTGGGGGGAAAAAGGGGAGGGACAGCGGGGAGTGGGGAGTTGGGGAGAGAGAGCATGGGGAGAAATGCTGCATATCGGTGAAGGGGAGGAAGGCAGCAAATCATGCCGCCATGTGTGTACCTATGCAACGATCTTGCATGTTCTTCACATGTACCCCAAAACCCAAAATGCAATAAAAATTAATTAAGTAAGTAAGTAATTTAAAAAAAAAGAAGAAGAAGCCCTCCCAGCAAGATCTCATGGCTCCTCAGACTGTGGGGTCAGAAGAAACTGAATCCCATTCTGGGATTTGTCCAAGTTTCCCAGCATGAATGGGACTTTCCCCTGCCCCCAGGGGAAGTGGGTGGGAACATTCATCATGCCTCTAGTACTTTTCAAGTGCTGTGCCAGGCACTTTACATCCGTTATCTTATTTCATTCTGATAACGATTCTGGGGGCAAGAACTAACTATCCTTACCCTCATCTTAAAGATGAAGACACAGGCTTAGAGAGAAGTCACTGGCCAAAGGCTGACAGCTAGTGAGTGGCTCTGTCACAGTCCTGCAGCTGCCCATTAGCTCTGGGGACACTTAGTGCCTCTCTGCCTCCACTCCGCTGGCCCTGCTGTCTAACAGGCCAGGCCAATCTCCTAGTTCTGCCCTGTCTTACCCCCTGCCCCCAGCTTGCAGGATTCCAGTCGGGAAACAAACTCCGGTTTCAGAGGCATATTTGCTTTGTCCCTTTAAGAGGAAGGAAGGGAGGGAGGGAGGGAACCATGGCGTTTCTGACCATGTGCCAGGCATTTTCACCAACATCATTTCATTTTCTCTCCACAATTCAGTGAGGCAGGTAATGCTGTCTCCTTTTAAAGCTGAGGAACCTGAATCTCAGAAATATTAGGTCGCATGGGGTACTCCAAGTCTTCATGACTCCCAAACCCATATGCATTCTTAATTCAAATACACCGTACTTTCTGTCTTCCAGGAGGGACTCCTGACAAGCTTAAAGTGTCAACCTGTCTGGATTATGGGTCTTTGCCAAAGCAACGAAGCATGCATCAGGTGCACTATCTCTGGAAGCTCTGGGGGAACCAGCCAGGTGACAGTACCGAGTACGTGGCTGAATACCCCTTCTAGGGAGGAGCAGACTTACGAGATTGTGGATTTCATCAGTGAGCACTGGGACTCCCCGTTACCCTTCAGGAGGCCTGACAAGGTCTCCAGCACCCAGGGGATTTCTCATGACGTCACAAGTAGTGATACCTGAGCCCAGATTGTGTTAATGGCCAATCAGAGAAGGTGGGAAAAAGTCAGAAAAATAGAGTCAGCCTTGCCCCAATCTTGAAGCCGGAAGCACTGTGGGAATGGGGGAAAGAACCCTGGATTCCAGTCCAGCCTTGCCGCTGACTTTATATGGGCTCTAGCATGAGTCTGTAGTGGAGAGGCAGTTTCATGGAGGAAATGGTCTTGGAACTGAGGAGAAGATTGCTAGTTGGAGTGAGGCCAGGAGTGTTCATGAATTTTTCAGGGAGAGGGAATGGGTTCTGCAAAGGCCCAGAGGTATGCAAGGGCCTGCTGTGTACAGAAAAGCAGGAAATAATTCAAGATGTCTGGAATTTGGACTGAGTAGAAGAGGAAAGAAGGATAGCATAGGCACATGAGATGGCATAGATAATTAATGAGCAGATAGGAAAGAAAAAGCCAAAATCAGGTCCACAAGTCTCATGAGGAAGGAGAGCCATTGAGGGGTTTTGAACAGGAGCAACAAGGCCAGGTGTGTGAGTTAAAAGGCCCATGGCCTCCACCCCCAGGTATGTTGAAGGTGGGCCAATTAGAATGGGTAGAGACTAGAGCTGGCTTCAGTAGCCAGGCGAGAGAGAGGAGGAAGGGGTGAATTGCGGGTGCAGAGGTCTTGATTTTGGAGACACTCTTTCTGGCAAGCTTCATAGCCAACAGGTCTCATCTCTATGATATAAGAGGTGAAGGAGACCTCAATGGCTGGGGGCACTCGCCCTTCTCTAGCTTGGTCGTGTGAGGGGATCCTACAAGAAGGCAAGGCTTCACCAGGCCGTGGGACTTTCGCCATGAGTTCACCTATTGACACCTTCCATTTTAGCCTCTCTCTCACTTGAACAGCCCACTGCAAGAGCAGAATAAAAAACCCAGGCCCTACTTTCCCACATACACACCCCCAACCCCCCATCAGGAGAGTTGCTGAGGCGAGAGGCCCTGCTCTACCCCATGTGTGGCAGGCAGGAAGGGAAGAGGGGACGCAGGGAGCAGGTCAGGGCCTGCTCTCTGTCAAAGGAAATATCCACCCTCCTAAGCCTTTAAGAAACTGTTTTCTTCCAAGTAGGTCCTGCTGTTACCAGGGCAACCGAGAGCCCTGGTATTTGTGTTTCTGTCTTTGGAGTCCCTGGGGAGAAGTAGCCTGCCAAGCTTTCCCTAATCTGGGCAGGATACAGGAAGTGCTGGCCGGAGGTGGAGCCTACTCCCCACCCCCCATTTGGGGGTGGTCTCTTGTGTGATTAATGCCTGTTCTTATCCCCTGGAGGAGCCCACCCCCACCCTCAGGAGCCAGTTCTGGCGGTCAAGGACACAGGCTTGGTCTCCTATGGACATGGTTTCTTGGGGCCAGAATTCTGCACTGACTTTGTGGCACATCTCTCTCAAACGGGTGTCAGCTGCTCTCTGAGGCAGGTGTACACAGCAGGCCCTTGCATACCTCTGGGCCTTCGCACAACCCATTCCCTCTCCCTGAAAAATTCATGAACACTCCTGGCCTCACTCCAACTAGCAATCTTCTCCTCAGTTCCAAGACCATTTCCTCCACGAAACTGCCTCTCCACTCCCCAGGCAAGCCCCTGCCCTTCTGCGTTCCCCCCTCAGGCCCTCTAACCCTGACCTCGCTGGCCTGTGAGGCTTGAGATCCACTTGGGAGCAGAGGCTGGCCCATGACTCCAAAGTGAGTTTGTTACTGCCAGTCTGTGGTTCAGTGGAAGAACATGGACTTGTCCTCTTTGCAGATGAAGGTTAAATGAAGACTGCACTGACAATGACATTTGGAAGGAGGAAAGGCCCTCCGAGAACTGGCTGAGGGCTGATGGTATGCACGTGGAGCTGGGAACCCCCCAGATAAAGTTGGAGGTATGGACAGTAGGGACAAGCAGGGGAGAAAAAGCAAGAGCTTATAGAGCTTCTTGTTCCTTTCCAGCGAGCACCCCATTGATGGCCTCCATTTTTCTGGGGTCCATCACCTCCTCTCAGTAGTGTGCTAATGGTGACCTCCACTGGGCTTGAGAGTCAAATAGACCTGGCTTTGAACCCTGTCTCTGCCACTCCTTTGCTGTGTACCCTTGACTTGGTCATTTCACTTCTCTAAGCCCCAGTTTCCTTTTTCTGAAAATTGAGATAATAATAGCATGTTAATGAGATGACTGATATAAACCAGCAATAATAACAAAAATAGCTAATAGTGCTTACTATGTATTGGGCATTAAGTGGTTTACATTTCTTAACCCATTGAAGCATCACAACAACCCTATAAGGTAGGTAGTGTTATTATTCCCCCTTTTGCAGATTAAGAAACTAGGTACAGAAAGTTTCCCGCATGCAAGTGCTTTTGACCCCTCCAGTAAGATAGGCAAAGTTCTGTGGATCAGTGGCCTGTGTGGCCTGTGGAGCAGGAAAGTTCCAAGATCCAGGGCAGGGTCTTAGTCTTTTTTTTAGGTCATGGACCCCTTTGGCAGTTTGGTGAAAACTCTGGACCCCTTCTCAGAATAATGTTTTCGTGTGCATAAAATAAAATATATAGAATCACAAAGGCCAATAATCATACTGAAATGGTTAGAAAAATATTTTTAAAATTTTGTGATCTAGTTGTATTACTACTTAAATGCATTAAATCATGAGATTTAGTGGCAAGTCTATAGATTAGAAATGTTAAAGTGGTGATGACCACAAATGATTTTTTGAGATACTTACAGCCACTGTAATGTGGTATGAAAATATTTGTGTTTTCTGTTGGTGATAAAGTCACAGATACCGCTACTGTGGTTTGTCACCTACATTCCTAATTTGAGAAAATGCTAACTGTTGTTTGAGATTCGTGGAGAAAAGATCAAATCATCTTCCCGTCCAAGTTTGTAGACTCTCTAAATTCTCTCCACACACCCCTTGAAGGTTCATGGAGTTCAAGTTAAGAAGCCCTGTCCTAAGGTGTCAGAGAAAAGACAACGGCAGCGCTGTCAGCTATGGGGACAAGCTGGGGGCTTGCAGAAAGACAAGTGCGTGGTTTCTTTTTCAAGAACTGTTTACAGAAATTGTGAAGTCTGGCAGCTCCCTCTTCCTCCTGGTCCTGAGTCAGCAGCCCAGGGTGGGGCTGAGGTGGTCACACTTGGTTTGAGTTTCAAGCTCACCACATATCCCAAAGAGTTGATTTGTTGCCATTTCGTTACCGTGAAAATGTTGGTGGGCTTTTCTCCATTTTAAAATGGGAACCTGCTTGCACACACGGATTTTTCATTAGTCTGGAAATAATCTTTAAGTGGACATGTGGCTC